TCCCGGAAGCTCTAAAATATACCAAAGTATGCGATCCCGATTTTGGTAAAATGAGATGAAAAGAGATATAGCTGACTTTGTTTCTAAGTGTTTAGTATGTCAGCAGATTAAGACAGAGCATCAACGCCCAGGCAGGCTACTTCAGCCATTACCGATCCCGTAATGGAAGTGGGAACATATCACCATGGACTTTGTGACAAGATTACCTGAGGCATACTCAGGATATGAGATCATTTGGGTAATTGTTGACCGACTTATCAAGTCTTCCCACTTCTTGGCCATCAGGATAACCGATTCCTTGGACAAGTTAGCAAGAATGTATATCCAAAAAATAGTCAAATTACATGGAGTGCCAGTAACTATAGTGTCCGACAAGGACCCCAGGTTCACTTCTCGATTTTGGTATAGTTTTTATCAAGCCATGGGAATGAAGCTATCCCTTAGTACTGCATTCCACCCTCAGACTGATGGCCAGTCAAAAAGGACAATTCGTACACTTAAGGATATGTTCCGAGCTTGTGTCCTTAACTCCGGGGACCATTGGGATGACCATCTATCCTTGATAGAGTTCGCCTACAACAACAGCTACCAAACGAGTATTAGCATGACTCCATATGAGGCGTTATATGGGCGCCCATACAGATCGCTGATTTGTTGGAAAGAAGTGGGCGATAGAAAATTGTTCAGCCCAGATATGGTAGAGGAGACTACATCCAAAATAGTTAAGATCAGAAAGAACATTCAGACAGCTCAGAGCAGGCAGAAGAGCTATGCTGACACCCGGAGGAGGGATTTGGAATTTGAAAAAGGCGATCGGGTATTCCTTAAGGTCACCCATTTTAAGGGAATTAGTAGGGTTCGGCAAGAGAGAAAAACTAAACCCTTGATTTATTGGACCATTTGAAGTCTTAAACAGTATTGGTATCGCCGCCTACAGACTAGCACTGCCTCCAGAACTTTTCAAGGTCCATAATGTGTTTCATGTGTCCATGCTACGTAAGTACAACCCGGACCCTTCTCACGTCTTGGCCCACAAGTCTCTCCCACTCCAGGAGGATCTGTCATATGAGGAAGTACCGGTTGGCATTGTGGATCGAAAGAGCATATTACTCCGCAACCAAAAAATTCCATTTATAAAGGTCATATGACAGAACCACACACCGAGGGAGGCTACATGGGAGCTATAATCAGACTTCAGAGTCTAATATCCCCAGCTATTTGATTAAGAGTGAGAGACAACTTTTAGAGACCAAATTTCTTTTAAGGAGGGGAGAGTTGTAACACCCACAAAAAAATTTGTTTTAATTTAATAATTAATAAATGTAATTTTTTATTATTTTATTTTATTTTATTGTAGCTTATTTTATTTTATTTGGGGTAAAAATGAGGTGAAAATTGAATGAGGATAAAATTGGAAACAATTTTAGAGAAAATGGGTAAAAATTGAGGTTCTGGGGGTATTTTTAAAAGAAAAATCGAAAATTAGGGGTCAAAGTGCAATTTAGAGAAATTCTGCCACGTGGGATGCCCGATCAGTAGTCCCAACGAACCAAGACGCGCCACGTGGTAACAGGCGTTGACGCGGGCGATCCGCGTGCCCGCAATCGAACGACCCAGGTCCATTCCCACGCGTACAGACGACTTGGATGCGCTCCCTCCCAACACGATCGAATAGCCAGATTCAAACGCGATCGGACGACCTATAGTGAATCCCGATGGACGGGCCAAATTGGATCGCGATGAACGGTTCAGATTCACTCCCTATTTATTCGCGATCGGACGGTCCATATCAATCGCGATGGACGGTCTAGTACAAAAGCATACAGATATAAATAACCCCTATCCGCATCA